CCCCTGCTGCCCCAACCGCTTCGGCTCATCTCTAGCCCCGCACACCTGCCCCTCGCCCTCCCACCTGCGCCCACCCTCGGATCCCGGCTCTCCTCTCCGACCCCGCCCCTGACCCATGCCTCACGACTCCCCTCGCCTCTAGCCTCTGCCGGGACATCACCTTCACCTGCTGGCGCTAGTCCGGGATCGAGTCTTATCCTGCGGCCCCAGGCCCGCGAGGTGGGTCTGGGGACCAAGCCCCAAAGCAGCTCGCGATTACCAAGGGGGTCCCCACGTCAGATCGGGGAGTGGGCGGCAAGGGAGAAAATTAGGGTAGAGAACCCAGCCTTAGGCTGGCAAGACGTCGGAGGGAAGGTCGGGCAGATGGAGACCGCGGTCACACTCCCCCGAGGCAGGACACAACCAGAGGGGTTCGGACTGACCGACGTGGGGAGACTGATTTCCTCTAAGGCGATATCCCTTCGGCCTCCAATTAAATCTAAATCGCTTTCCCGAGGACTGGGATACCCAGACCCAGCAAATCACTCATTACTTCCCAGTGAAAGGCAATGTCCAGTCGCACCGACAGCAGCTGTCAAATGTGGAATTAGCAAATATGAACAAATGTGTCTTTCACCCTGGTGGTGGCCATAAGACTGTTTCCAAATGGAACTGTTAGAAAGCTAGAGAAAATGGTTAAATCTCGGAAACAACCTGTGGAATCTAGGGCAAAAATAAACACTACTCACTTCAAAGAGAAGAAGAAAAGAAACAGGCTTTCCCCTTATAATAAAAGTGATACAGTTAAAATCATAGTAGTGACAGAAAAAGTAAAGAAGAACTTGCAGTCTCAAAGATTAAAAGTATATTATAGTGCCCCTTGATTATTAGTTTTAACTATAAAGGGGACTTAATTGTTCTAAGTGCATCCAATAGAATCATACTTACAACATTTTGAGTGCTTCAGATACCTAACATAAGATACCTGCCCTTTGGGAGTTTTTCCCCTTTTAATGTCTAGCCTCCACCACCTCCCAGATAGCCACCCCAAAATCAGTGTTTTTAACAAAGGCCAAGGGACCAGAGCAACTGGTGGGAATGCCATGGAGAAGCAGGCAGTGTGATTTGAGAGTATGAGGAAGGTTTCCCAAGCCACCCACTGCCCAGAATTTCCTACCTCAAGCTGTGCCTCACCTACCACTAATTATATAGTCACATTTCCGGATTTCAGGTATTCATTCACTCCTCTATTTAAAGTGTGGGTGTCTTTGGGGAAGTTACACATTTGCTTGTATGAGAGTAAAAAAGGAAGAATGGGTTGCATTTTGATGTTCTGTTCACAGCTTAGCATGAATACCTTTCATCTGGGTGTCACATTGCTGTCTGTCCTGCAGTACCTAGCAGAATCGTTTATGGGATGGTACAATGAGGAAAAATAATAATAATTTCAAATCCTCAAGGCACTAAGTCATTTTAAAACACCTGTGTGTCATCCACATATATGTCTACATGAGGGAACGAGGGCTAAGACCAGCTATGAGTAGCATGATGTCCCAGATGCCAGGATATAATGCCAACAACTTTATTATCTTTTTATCTTAAAATTATTTAATCATTTTATTACATTGTCATTTTTGGATAGTATTTGATTTCTCCCACTCAGGTGAATTCCCAGTAGTTCTCCCACTACCAAAGCACCTGTGATCCACCACCATAATCCTTTGTGCTCTTCCCTCCCCTGTTTTGACCTCTCTGTCTTCCCCCACTGTAAGCCTCAGATCTATGGTCAGCTTGCAAGTTTTGTGTTTTTCCTGACCCTTTATTTGGCTTCCCTGTTTTCCTTCTATAAGTGAAAGAAACCATTCAATATTTCTCTTTCTCCTTCTGACTTATTTCATGTAGCATAATGCCTTCCTGCTCCATCCATGTTGCTGCAAATATGATGCTACCAATGTTTTTTTAAAGATTTATTTATTTATGCATGTAAAACTGGTGTACAGGCCAGAAGTGGGGTTGGGTGAGAGGATTCACCAGAGACAGAATCTGTTCTGGGGAGCAGAACAGGTAGATGTACTGAAATACATTGCTGAGGAGAGTAGTGGGTAGCTCGGAAGAGGTCTGCGGTGCCATGTGGGTCACCTTCCTGGCCTGGGATCAAACTGATGCTTCAGTGGCTGAAGATAGCTGCACAGTGCTGTGCTTTAACCCGTTGCACCACCAAGGAGAGCCTAGGGCCACCAACTCTAAAAGCAGGTCCTGCATCGGGTAAATACTAAATAAGGTGAACATATATTGAGATAGCCCCTTCTTGTCAACAAATAACACCCCAGTATAAACAGAAATTTCTACAGAATTTCTGTAGTACTGATTAAGACTTTATTTATATAAGCCTGAAACAATTATGCAAGAGACCACCAAATATTTTGCATTTGTGAGGGAGGTAAGTGTCTGCTTATTGAAAGGTCAAGGTACCATTTTTATATCAGAATGAAGTATTAAAAAACTTTTCTAAAAATATGTTATTTTCTTTAATTCTAGTCAAATATAATAATATTCTGATCTCAAATCAGAATGAGGCCACCCATTTCCTGTACAGCTAAGTCACCCACCTTTTTTTCTTTTCTCTTTGTTTGGTTGTTCATAGACCCTTGAAGTCAGAAAATATAGATATGTTATCCAGTGCTCTATTCCATAGCCCACATTTGTTTTTTAAGACTTATTTTATTTATTTATGCATACAAGAGCTGAGCTATAAGCCAGAGGCGCAGGGGTAAGAACTTTCATCAGAGACAGAGTGGGGAGTAGAACAGGCAGATGGACTGAAATACACTGCTGAGGGGAGCAGCAGGCAAGACAGGAGAGGTCTGCTGTGCCATGTGAGTTAGCTCCTTGGTGGGGATGGCAATAGCTTGGTAGCACTGAGACTTTAACCCCTGAGCGACCAGAGAGGCTGTAGCCCACCCTTCTTAGACTTTATAGCTCAAGGTTGGGGACCTGAGCCTTGAAAAACAAATGTGAACTTGAAAGACATCTGACAACAGTTCGAGGCTCTAGAGGCAAGTTTCCTAGCCTTTTTTAGGCAGGAGCAGGCTGTGAACTCATTGTGAACTTTCAAGAACTCACCAGAAGCCTGTCCTTCTACTAATCCAGCCATTTCTTCATTCTCATGGCTAATCCTTATACTCTTGGCTTGTGTTTTCCGGAGTATGGCAGAGTCCTTTTGTGCTTTTTATAATTCTAAAAGTTCATCAGCTTAGTTGTTGATAGAAAGGAAAGAATCCGGAAAAAAAAAAAGCACACTAAAAGTCTAATTGAACTTTCTTTTTACAGCTGATGACCTTAACCACATAAAAGTTTATCTTGTTATCTATGCTTAACATTTTTCACTTGTAGCAGGACCTGAAGTTTGAATGCTTTGGGAGCAATTGTGCACTATCTTTGTCCTAAATTTCAGAAAATATATTTATCACAAGACATGTTTCTTATGTTGCTACTATCTCTAAAGCAAGTTTTAAATTAAATTAAAAAGTATACACAGAAATAGGGCCTCCTATGAAGTAGAAGTGAAGCCATTAATTTTGAATTTCGTCTTGAAGCATCTTGCAGAATAGACACCATGAACAAAGCTCAACCTAACAAAAAGTTAGCACTGAAATTAAATGGTGGCAACATGTGCAAGGAATATTGCAAACAGTTGTCCCTTTACATATCTTGTGATAGATGAATGGGGAGAACAAAGCAATGCTGGAATAGTGGGAATATAAGGAAATAGTTTCATCACGTTAGAAGCTTTGGAATGAGAAGAGACAGGAGCTTTTTCACCAAAGAAATCAATAGCTTCCACATGTCCCCCTCTCCACCACCTTTTTACTATGATATAGAAATTGGATCACATAGCATTTGGCTGGAACTGGCATCTCCCAGGAAGAGGCCAAAATGACCAACACAAAGAGACAGAGGAGAGCTGCACCCCCGGTTAGAAAACATGGAGTTGTTCTTTTGGTCACATGCATGCAAATCTACAAGAAAGGAGACAGTTTAGATAGCAAGGGGATGGGAACCGTTCAAGAAGGAAGGCCCCACATGTTACTACAGCAACACTGGGAGATACTCTGGTACCCAGCCTACACTTGCTGTTGTTGTAAACAAACAAAGGCAAGATTCCTGCCAAGAGAACTCACATTGGTATTGAGCATCTTAGGCGATCGATTGAAGAGTCGAAGAGAGCTTCCTGAGATGTGAAAGAAAATGAGCAGAAATAAAGGAGGCCAAAGAGAAAGGTGTGTGGATTTAACTGAAGCACCAGCCTGCTCTACCCAGAGAGGCACATGGTGTGAGAACCAAAGACAAGGGGCCTGAACCACTAGAATCCATTCCCTGTGAAGGCATGGCATCACAGGTGTGAGGAAAAATAAAAGACCTTTGTAGTATTAAAAAAAAAA